GTCGACACAGGCGCCGAAGTCAGCGTCCTTCCTGCTACAGCAGCAGATCGACAGAAGGAACCTACCTTCAACTTACAGGCTGCAAATGGAAAACCAATCGCAACCTTTGGTAGGAAATACGTCTATCTGAACGTAGGTTTACGCAAACCTATTCGGTGGATTTTCCTTCTCGCTGACGTTACAATGCCCATCATTGGCACGGACCTACTTAATCATCATGATTTACTCGTAGACGTCCGCCGAAAACGACTGATTGACAATACTACTAGTCTGTCTATCAAAGGCATCACCTACATAGGCCCTACTTTGTCACCCGTTAAGATAAAGGCAATCCCTGATCCAACTTTTTAACCTATTGTTGACACGACTGGCTCCTGACAAACTGAGAATCGCCAGGAATGAATTTGACCATATGCTTACCTTTGGCATCATTCGACCTTCGAATAGCATATGGGCATCCCCACTTCATATGGTACCGAAAAAGGATAGCAATGATTGGCGACCCACCGGTGATTACCGGAGAGTAAATGCCAAAACAACCCCTGATTGCTACCCGTTGTCTCATATACGCGACTTAACGGTAACCTTATCAGGCGCGACTATATTCTCTAAAATCGACTTGGTTAAAGCGTATAACCAAATCCCGATGGCAACAGAAGATATCCCGAAAACGGCTATCATTAAGCCTTTCGGACTTTTTGAATTTCTACGTATGCCATTCGGTCTCCGGAATGCAGCCCAAACATTCCAACGCTTCATTGACGAAGTATTTCGCGGTCTTGACTTTGTATACGCATACTTAGACGACTGTCTCATTGCCAGTCCAGACAAGGAAACTTACCTTAGGCACTTAGACTTCGCATTTGACAGGTTACGCCAACATGGTGTTACCATCAACATTCAAAAGTGTCAAATCGGTGTTGACTCACTCGACTTTCTGGATCACACTATTGACTGCAAGGGCATTCGCGCACTGGCTACTAAGGTCGAGGCTATACTGAAACCGGTTTACTTGGAGGGTAATCCTATTAGCACAAGTAACAGAAGATCGTTTAGACATCGATGAAGTCACTAGCACAGCGACAGCTACCGAACCTTCTATCGAGCCTCCCAAGAAAACCCGTTCTGGACGCACCGTAAGGTTTCCAGAATATCTTCACACTTATTTGACATAACGAAGTCGTGTGATTCACGCAACTCATTCGTTTGTGGTACTGACTATTTTTTTGACGTATCATTATTTTTTCTATACAGTACCACCGAACACAAAATTTTTTCTCTCTTTCAACAGTTCATGTAACATACACAAAAAAATTAATTAGATGTATTTTTTTCGATGTTCTGAACTTAGCATTATTTTACTGTATAGTAAATGCACATCATTTTTTTAACAAAAAAAGCTGATTTGGTACATTTTCCTCGGCATGGTTCTTAGCGTTCTTGTTTTATTTTCCAGGTGCGACGGGCACTGGACAGGAAACAAACGAAGCACGGAATCCAACGAACAACAACAAGGAAGCTATGTACAAACACCCTATTAGCATAGGCAGACAAACCAGTAGGCATACCACCAAGCCGCTCGGAAGATTTTTTTCACTCGAAAGGGAACCATCGAGATTTTTTTACTTCCGGCTGGTTCTGTCTTAGGGTCCTCACGACCCCACTAGGGGGGAGTGAGCTGTTGCGGTAAATAATTCCCCAAAATTATTGACCACAGCAATCACTCACCATTGGATGCTGACCACCACTGTTTAAGTCGACTTGTTTAGCTGAAGGCTTCCGGTCAAGCATCCCCGCCATTTGGTACCCCGTCGTGTCACGTGCACGATCACTAGCTAGCTAAGCGTTCGTCTGACGGCTTGTTTTGGTCCCGAAATATATCACTTAGTTTGAACGATCAAATATTGGCTTTTGCTTTGTTGTTGGTACGCGAGAATAATTTACAGGCTGTGTAAGAGAATTCCGTCAACCTCTAAAATAGCAACAACAAAATAATAATCTAACAATATCTAACATAACATTAGCAAAATGACAACCATTCATTTCTTTTTATGTTTATGTGACGCGTTTATCACTCATGTCCCGTTTTGCAGTCTCCCCAAAAGCTCTCCGTTGAATTACTATGGTTTCCAGTAAGAGGACTGACGATTGTTTACAAGGAAAATGTGGATAATAGAACAAATTAAAATCAATAATGTTAACGCTAAATCTATCCCTAATCCTAACTCTAACGAGCTATTAACACAGTGTCCAAACATTACTCAGTAACGTGATCTGGGTGAAAATTTCTCCTTAGTTGATGAACAGTGTTCATATTTAGGCTATAATAATGACAGGTATCATTAGCCAACGACTAGCATGCGTTCAAGGTCAGTGGAGAGTTCACAGCCCTGAGACACTAATCTTTAACTTCGCCGAGAGTTTAACTTCACGGAGACTTTCTTCTTGTTGTCAGTGTGTATCTGATGTATTAAAGGAACGTTTTATATATCTCTCTGTCCTTTAATGGAAAAATGAGTCATCTTGCTGTTTTGTTTTTAGAAAATTTATTACAGTTAAGATAATTTAGATATAATGAATTGAAGAAAGCGTATTAATATTACTCCTACTGATGTGGATAACACTAGTAGCAGCACGGATGAAGGGGTTAAACACAGGCACGATAAGAAAAGTATGACAAACTTTCATTCCTCATAAAATCACTGTGGAAATCGACTACACTCAGCACAGAGAACAAGATCTACATTTCCAGGTCTAATACCAAGTAAGCTGACGCTTCTATACACTTTAGAGATTCAGCTCACGTGTCACCAAAAGCATTTCCAACAGCCTATTTCAGATGCTCATCAGTGCACGTCTTCTCTCCGAATTGAAGATAAGATGGCCAACCAGGAAAAAAAAATAAGCAACAAGGAACCAAGCAGGTGTACCTGTCATTCAACAAATATACAGAAAGACCAATAAATAGCCATCATGACATGAAGAAAATAAAAGACAATTCAGAAATCGTCTTCTATTCTCTTGCTGACTCATTGGGTATTTTCATTTCTTTAAAATGGCACAGGAATGCCTGTCACAGTCGAAGAACTTGATATATATTTCTCAAACTTCCTGTCAAACTTACCATAAGAAAGTAATCTGTTTTTAAAGGAAGGTGTAGAAGGGAATGCGGAATGAAAATGGACATACCCTGAGGAGACCATTAAGTAATAAAACGCTCCAGGCCATCGCTGAAGTGGAACCTTGATCGGGAAACAACGAGTTAAGCATAGGTTCAAGAGGGAAATGTAACAGATCATGGGAGGAGAAAGAGAAAGCTACAAGCAGTCATGGAGCCAGATAAAAAGGACTGCAGAGGACAGAGTAAAGTAGTGATATGTTGCTGAAGCTTAGTGTTCCCCTAAGAACTTAATAGTGATGCACTGTGATACGTTCACTGCACGATCCTTGAATAGTGCACAGATGGATGAAAAATAGCAAATAGCAGAAACAAAAACAACGGAAAGCATGAAATGAAGACAAAATAGGCAGAATACGGATACCTCGTCAAAATTGAAAAGTTTCAATATAAATTGATTTATTTAGACCAGTGACATATGTAATCTCATCAGATTCACTTTCTGCTCCCAGATACTTCTGTATTCTCGGTTACGTAACCAGTAGATATCCCAGTTCAGTGTTTGACTAATTTCTGTTGACATTTTTGGCATCATTAGTTTTTCAAATCTAATATTCAAGAGCATCAACTGACACTATATTAACTGCTAATTGACATAAATGGTTGTAAACCACTTACTTCAATAGCACTACTAACTGGTGACCAGGTAAAAGTGAAATAAATATCGGAATTATTTTGACTGCTAGTGACTAAACCTTGCAACCTACTGGATAAAGCTTTGGTGTTTTAAATGGTTGGTGCACGGTTCCAGTCTCAGTTCAGAAACACCACGACTCACTGGGAATGCAGGTACATCTATTTGGCTGCTCCCAAATAGCAGGGGTAGTGTGCATTTTGAATGCCACTGCTAGTCACTGACAACCGAATTAACTTCATTTCACCACTTAGACATCGGTGAAGCGTCCGTACTAGAAGCCGAAATATTAACAAAGGCCGAATATTTTGGTCTAACAAAATCAATCAATGAGAAATGCAAACTATCTTCAAATCAATATTGAACTACAATTTTAGATCTGATCTTATCATCTCCAACTGTATGTTTTGAAAATAGATCATTGCGTCTCTTGATACTCCGAAGAAATTATACTTGATGAAGTATTCACTTTTTTTAATCCTTCACTCTCCCAGTGGAAGATAGGGCTTCAAGCTGGAGGCTTGAAGTTTCTATAGCTGAGGTGATTATTTTTACAGGATGGGTTTGCTAGCCTGTCTCATGCCAAACCTTCCCTCTTTACCAGTCTTACTACTGACTTAGTGAGATAAGGGAGCGCATCAGTCGACCAGGGATCGAACGCCGAACCGCGTGTGTCGTGGTTGATGAGCATCCTACTGCTGTACCACTGACGCAATGGTTGACGAAGTATTCATTATAACTCCTTAAATAATATTAGGCCTGAAACAACTATCTAGCATTGCTATGATTGCTACTTATAACCAGATATAAGTAGTACGTCGATGAACGAATTCAGAAAAGTAACAATATGCTCTGGGACACTGGAAAAAGCAGTCGAAGAAGAGAAATGTGAGAAGAACACTAGAAAAACTGTGCATAATCCAACAAGCTATCCAACAATGGGGTGATATTCGACCAATTTGCGAATGATGTGCAAATGAAGACTTAAAGATAAGGTATACCAAAATTTATGCACCTACAGTGCGTTTGTTCACCGTGTCGTATGAGAATAAGTCAATGAATTGTAATGTTGCTGAATAATGCGTACAAATAAACAATATAACCACTTAAAAAAACGATGCCCTGGAGACAACTAACTAACCATAAAATTTAGAATAAAAAAAGTAAATGACTGGGATTACTGCTTACCTGGAAAGCATTAAAGCGTCTCTTTTACCATTTGATGTATAATTCAATCCTAATGAGAGACGATTTTTCACAGAATTATCGCGATCGTTTCTACTAGTTAGACATCGAGTATATGGAACAAGCCAAGCTAAAATCTGAAAAACAGAGATTAAAAAAAAAATAAAAATGAAAATTTGCTGGCATACTGACGAAAGGGTTGATAAGGGTAGTTTTGTGAACTAAACATAGAATCAACTAGCCATAGTTCTATCAAAGTGTCAGTAAAAATAATAAACGATTCTACATTTTTGATCTGCTTGTCATGAACCTATCTATCCACAATGTGTTATTTACTCAGTGGACAACTAGTCTGTTAGTCGGTCATGCCAAGATTGAATATGGTCCATTGAGACAAGTAATAGACAAAACCGATTCTTATTTTCGATATAATAATAATAATTTTTGCTTTATTCCAAAAACAGTACTCATGATACAGCAAGGAATTTTCAGCATTCAGTACAATATTGCATCTAATTTACTCAAAAACGACAAAAAAAAATTAAAAATACACAATACATAATAGTAATAAAACGATTGTTGTAGCAGCTACGTAGCAAAATACTGTGTGCCATACGGAGAAAAATATGTATAAAGTACAAAATTGTAGTAATAATAGTAATACCAACTAATATAAAATAGCAGAGTAACGATTTAAACGATAGAAAGTGTGACACCATAAAATACAGAAAGATGAACGATAAAAGGGTCGATTCACTGTGCTAATTACATAGTAACTTGTAAGTTTCACGTCTAACAGAGTCTTCGTCACATAAAGTACGCGCTAAATAGGGTATTGTAGAATTTCTATACTTAGTAGTACGAGCATATATCTTTTTTTTTATTGACTTCTCGTCCTACCTGATGAGATACAAGGGGACAGGTGTGAATAAAGGGGGTGAAGAGGGTCTGACAGTATAGCCTTTGCCCATTTTGTACAGGAATTTATATGCCTCTCGACTATAGTATTAGCGAGCTCATGCAGTGGCAGACCACAAGCTCTACTCACAGCATTTAATACTCTTCGTAATATGATATAATCTTTTTTGAGCAGCCCAGGAAAGATTAATAGAGAACAGTAGAGTACAATAGGTAAAATACAGGAGTTTAAAAATTGCAAAACTAAAGGTTGGTTGATACCTGATTGTCTTAACTTTTTAATGTAGAAGGTAAGACGAAACATTTTCTTAGAGATAGATAAGATATGGGATGACCATGAAAGGTCAGAGGAAAAAACTAGTCCAAGGTATTTAATGCTTGATTTGGTTTCAATTTTCGTGCCATCTATGCTACAGGGATCATGAGAGTTAACTAGTTCAAGTAAGTCACGTCGATGCTTGAAAGTAAAGTCAAGCACCTGACATTTGGAAGGATTTAATATAAGACCATTTGACTTGGACCAGTTGTTGATGTCCAACAGAAAGCTATTAAGTTTGGAGCTGTCAGACTCGGAAGTGATAGGCAGTGATACAGTCAGATCATCTGCATATTTGACAAAGTTAGTTTCGTTTGAATGAGGTAGGTCATGTAGGAAGAAAGAAAAAAGAAAAGGAGAGAGTACAGCACCTTGAGGAACACCGGATTTTGTAAGCGAGGTAGAAGAAGATTTGCTGTTATATACAGTATACTGCATTCTATCAGAAATACGTCTATTATTCTTGATGTGAAAACTAACAAGAATGAAATGTTAAAAAAGCCTAATGATGCACATCCGTAGCTCATCTTCACCTGTGAGGAAGAACATGATGGTGGACTACATTCCCTTGACGTCCAATTGAGCAGAAGAGAGGATGGTTCACTCAAGAGAGATGTCTATAGAAAACCTACTTCTGTAGGACAATATACACATTTCCTCAGTTTTGTACCAATCTGATACAAAATCAATTTGGTCAGATGTCTCATGAATAGAGCAAGACGTATCTGTACAGATGACTCCTTAGAAAATGAGCTAGGATACATCCAAAACACGTTGGTCCAAATGGGTTATCCTAGTAGATTTGTAAGGAGACACATGAACGCCAGGAACAATAAAGCGAAACTGACAACAACTAAAAAGAAACAACTGTTCATGAAACTGTAATTTAATGGGGACGTGGTTAGTGAAGTCTTACATCTAAGATTATCGAGAGCAATAAAACGTACTCATACTGCAGCCACCCTCTGTTTGTCATTTTCCAGGCGACCAATTATGATTGCTCAAGTGAAAGATAAGTTACCTAGCTATGCCACTTCGATGTTGCTCCTGTGGAGAAAGCGTCGGTGGCACAGTGGTTAGGACTCTCGCCGACCATGCATATGGTCCAGTGTTCGAGCCCACGCCGGCGCACACCTGATATCTATGGTCGGCCTGCAAAATTTGGGCTGCCGATATCCATGCTGAAAATTCCATACTTGTACCAAAAGTACAGTGTGGAATCAAGCTGTAAATCAAAAATTAAAAAAAAAATTAAAATTATATAGGCCGAACAAATAGACAGCTTAACAAACGCATTAATGAGCATCTCCCTTCATGGTTCGGAAAAGGTCGAATAAAATCCATACAAAGTTTGTTATATATATGCTGAGATTTTGTGAATTCCGGTTTAATAATACTTTGATAAAGCTATTAGCATTGAACAGCGAAACGTCAGTAAAAACAATATCGTTTTGTTTTTCATTCATTGGGAAATACAAAAACCTTTATTATGAGTTCTATCTTGGCTCATTTGATTGATAGCGGTCACCAAGTGGACCAAAATAGTGCCTTCAAAGTAATCTATCGCATTCCACCTAGCGTTTCGAACGGAATTCGAATCCGTCTTCTACACTTAGCCGAAGCTATGGGAATCCGAGAGAACAATCGTAGTCTTTGTATACAAAGAAACTTGTTCTACCTTTATCTCTCCCTTGTTTAGCCTAGGTGAATTCTATTCAAATCCCTCTCACCCTTTCTTATCTTCCATCTCCTTCGTACTTTTGTGATATTTATTTAAACTCTGATTATCTGTCCATTTCACCTCTATTTGGTATTACGTAACTTTTAAGATTTGACCTAATTTATTTATTTATTGAATTGTCTACATATGCACACATATTACTACTTTCGTTATTCTTATCGCCACCTGCATAATCCTTATTATTAATATTTTGTTATCATTATAATCATCGTCATTAACTACGTTCAAAACATTTACCACATTATTATTATTTGATCCACAAAATCATCGTCATTCGAAACAATTCCAACAGTGGTGTGAACACGGGCAGTTATTTTGCTCGAAATATTACCAATAACAAAACTTATCATTGTGTGTAAACTATTGATATATAAAGTTACATTTGTAAAATCTCAGCGAAATTGAAATGATTAATTCCAACGTTTCGTTCGGCAATCTGGTCCGAACTTCTTCCGGGAAATTAATCGAAATTAACATAACAACGGCACATGTCAAGTGATCCACATCGGAAAACTCAGCGAGGCGTTTGGAGTAAACACAAAAGTCAAACAAGGGTGCTTATTATCACCAATGATATTCCTAATTGTGGTGAACTGGATTCTGTCTGTCTGTCTGGATTCAACATAGAACTTGGCACCGAAGTGCACCAGTTCGAGTTGCCACGTTCCAAATAGCACACAGAGGTAGACAAGAAGATGAGTGAAGAGAATCAATAGAGTTTGACAAGTATGAGAGTGAAACAGAATGGATAATGGTAGAAAGGAATATGAAAGATTACAGAGACTGAATACATCTGCGCTGGCCACTGACAACGATTTCCAGCCATGTCACCTATTGTCTCCAGCCATTGATTCCTAGAGTCCCGAGGGCCCCAACCCGGAAGTCTGCATCTCCCTACCTGACTCAGTTTAACTGTCAAGGATTTCATGGGTTGATGCCATGTTTTTGTTTGGCCACCACTGGTTCTTTTCCAACCTGCACCTATATCAGCTAGTAATGCCCGTCGGGGGAGGCGATGGTTAGGCATGCGCAGCACGTGACCTAGCCATCTTAGTCTATGTAACTTTATAGCCTCCTCGACTGATTTTCCCTCTTTGCCCAACACTCTACGCCTAACGTCAACATTACTTATCTTGTGAAACCACCTAACGTGAGGCAGAGATCGCAGACATCTATGATCGAAAGCAGTCAACCTTTTCATGTCTTCAACGCGTATTGGCCATGTTTCAGAGCCATAGAGAAGGACGGAACGAACTGCTGAGCAGTACACACGTCCCTTGGTTGATAGCCGGATGTCACGCCTACGCCAGAGATGGTGTAAGTCAGTGAAAGCAGCTCGAGCTTTTTGGATCCGTGCTGAGATTTCATCGCTAATCAGTCCGTTGGTGCTAATACAACTTCCCAAATAGGTGAAGTGGTCAACATGTTCTATCACTTCACTCCCTATCACTAAGTTAGGGGTTGACGTCGTCCAGTCCTGTAGCAGCATCTTACATTTTGCAGGGGCGAATCGCATGCCAAACATACGAAGATTGCTGCTCAAGGTGTTCAGAAGACTCTGCTGGATTTTGTCAGCATCCTCTCCTAACAGGACTATGTCATCTGCATATTCTAAGTCCATAAGATTATTCCCTGGTAACAAGTCGATTCCTAAGTCACTACGTTCAGTTAAGGATACTTCCATTAGCATATCTATGATGAAGTTAAACAGAAATGGGGAAAGTGGACATCCCTGTCGGACACCGATAGTTGTTACCAATTCAGATGACAATTCCCCATAAGCCCTTACACGACTACGTGAGTTTGAATGTCTGTCTGTCTGTTTTCGACATAGAACTTTGCACAAATGTGCGGAAGTTCAAGTCGCCACATTCCGTGTAGCACGCGAAGCAAGAGAAGAAAGTACAAGAAAAGCATAATAGAAACAGTGAGCAGAGGTGTGAGACAAAGGAGTAATAAAGAAATACAAAACAGTTTCATTGAAGATCATAAGTCACAGGGAGTGGATGCATCTGCGCCACTGAGAACGATTTTGAGCCATGTCACCAATTGTTTCCAACCATAGATTTTTACCGTCCCGAGGACCCCAGCCTGGAAGTCTACACCTTTCTACGTGGCTTAGACCAACTGTTGTGGATTTCATTGACTGATGCCAAGTTTTT